TGGGAGGCGGGGGTTAGTCAGAACAAGTCTTACAAAAACGTCTATAAAAAACACGACCAGATTTAAAGGGAAAATACAACATGTGCAAACATCAAAAAATTAAATGATCAAATTATCACAAAATACGTTACTGGATTGTTAGGGAATGACAGTCCAAAGCATCCTTTAAAATCGTGGCTCCTGGTGTGCTGACATTTTCAAGAAAATCTGTATTTTTCCAACGCTGGTCGGCCGACCAGCGTTGGAGAAAACTGGCGGGTTTTTTTTAAACTGTTCTTAATTTGTCATTTTTAGTTATTTTGAATTTTCTTTGCAATTGATTACACACTTCTGAAGGGGTTCAAGCTTGCTAGACTGATTCTCTGACCTTACAATTCCCCAAAGTGTATTAATTGCTCTGTTTCATCTTAGTGGGGTCAGGGAACCAGACTACAAGAACAGGATAGGTTTTCTTAGTTTTTCCAGCATCTTCAAGCCCAAAACATGAAGCTAGTCAGTTTAACAATATTTTCTATAACATACTAATCCTCCAAATCCATTTATTTTAGCAAATGTTGTCCATTCCCTTTAATTCAAGAAACAATAACTGTGTACATGTCGTCACCGTTTTGACGAAGTGACACCTCCCTCCAAAACCGAGATTTTCTGAAATCTGAGATTTTTTAATATTCTAACATTTTATGATGTCCTCTACATGATTACCAAATTTCGAGACACAACATTCCATCGTTTGTTAATTACGCTAATTACGCTAATTGCACAAAGTGTTGAAAGTGCTACACACTAAGTTTGCCGTTTTGACGAAGTGACGGATCTCTGTGTCACTTTAGTCTCATTGATTTTATAAATCTGAAGCCTCCACGATTTGTGTTTTGACGAAGTGACGCATCTGCGTTCTAAAATGTATCAATTTTGTATACGCGCACGCGCTGTGTACAAACACATGCCTCATTCTTGTGAAGTAGCTGATTTTCCGTCAGACGAAGTGACAGATATCTTTAGTGATTAATATCTTTTAATTAAAGCACGATTTTTATGAACAGAGAGAATTGTTTTTGGCTATTTAACGCCTGGGCTATTGTCTAAGTTATATATTTTTTCAATTCTGGGGGAGAAATGTACACAAAAATGTATACTGAAAAAAATCCACCAACTTCAAATGCAATTTTCTCACAGATGTGTCACTTCGTCAAAACGGTGATGATGTGTGTTACAAATATTGGTACCGGTACAGCCTATAAAATTCTTTAGCTTGTTGATGGTTAGGCCCCCCCCAAAAAAATTCGGTCTCTGGTCAGACCAAAGTTCCGGAATTGACGCGGCCACGCGGCTTTTTTTTTTTTTTATTTCAAGCTTGGATTGTACAGACAAGGTGGGGTACTGTTTTGCTTTTTTGGTGTCCTCATGTACATTGGTGTCCTCCATAATTTGCCTTGGTGCTTTTGATCATTTGCCTTGGTGCAATTTCCCATTCCTTGGCGCTCTTTGGTAAAAAAAAAATTGAGGAGGTGCGGAAATAGAGGGCGCTGTTGGAGCTACCGCGGAACATTTTGGAAAAAAAAAGATCGACGCTCATGATTAAAATCGACGCGTGCGCTGACCAGAAGCCAACTTATTTTTTTTGTTTGCCTTACCGATATAAATTTAATCCACCTTGAACACAACCATCTGTGGGGTAAGCTGGAACGTGGTATGGGGTTAGTTGAAACATGGTATGGGCATGGGGTTAGTTGAAACATGGTACAATGTGAAATTCCAAAATGACTAAATAAAAACTGTGTTAATTATTTGGGTTAGCCTTATGCAAAGTTTAAAAGCACAGAAAGTTGTATACTTGGCATGAAGAATAGAAACACATTTTACAACCTAAATGCATTGAGCATTCAAAAAATACCTTGGGTACAAGAAATGTGGAACAATTGTCAAGATTTTAATGCATCATTTTTTTAAAAGTGCATCCCATACTTGCATAGCGTATAATTTGCACTTATTTAAATAATTTCTGTTGCCCAAAAATCAATCAACATAAATTGTTGGGTTTTTTTCCTTAAAAAAAAGTGTATTTTCCAGACAAGTTTCTCACCAAATCCACAGGCACGGTTGCACTGATTTGCACGCAAACATTGTGCCAACATACTGAGCACATTGCGCGAATTCATAGAATTAATGCATACGTCATCGTATAGTCGGGAACCATTATGGGTCGATGTGGTATTGATACCACAACGCTCCAGGCACCATGCGGAATGCAATATATCAACGTATAGTCGGGAACCATGATAAGTTGATGTGGTATTGATACGACAATGCTCCAGGCACCATACAGTGAGCGCGTGTTGTACAGTACTCATGGTCGTAAAGTTTTTAAAGTTCAAAGTTTGACATCTAGCTGGCATGGCAAGGGTAGGCCAATTATTGCATTGTTTGTTTGAGCACTCAGTCAACTGTATTAAAGCTATAGTCCATCATTTGCAGCTATCCGAAAAGTAGCTGGCGTAATTATTGTTGAAAAACATACTTGGTTGAAAGATAGTAAGGGGACTAAACTCCCTGTGAAATTATTCTTTCTGGCAAGCTTTCATTTTGAAGTAATCAACGAAAGAAGGCCTTTCCAACGGTGCTTCTTAAGACGCACCGTAGGAAAATTTAAATTAGTAGTTCGTTTTGTTATTCGGCGAAGCGCGCGCAATCATTGGCACTATAATTCGTCGGATCGCTGCGCGACATCGCGTAGCTGCAATCGGCTCAGCGAGAACGTGTCTCGGACGCTGAATTCAGGCGCAATTCAAAACATGATTCAGCAACTTTTGATTTGAAATTGAGATCCTAGAATGCTGTTTTTCTCGGAATATACAGCTGAGGCTGAGCTGAAACTTCATTAGGTTAGTTGTTCAGTACCCTTCTTTAGATTTTGAGCACTTTTGTTGCTTCAAACGAACAAAATGTACAAATTACAAATGATGGACTATAGCTTTAAACTGGTCTGCTATAAACTTTGAGATTCATTACCCTTTTTAAATTCTCGACAAAATCCTAGGTCATTGTACAGCTGACTATGTAGTTTTCATGTTTGTTGTGTCTTCTTTTAGGTTTATCTGACTATTGTCCTCTCAATTCACTTTGAATGTGAAGAAGTGGTATTTATAAAATATAAAATGTAAATTTCCCTCCCGACCAATTTTTTTCAATCTTGAGTGAAAATCAGTGTTGACTGGCCTTGACAACTAACCTGAAGAAGTTCTAGTTCAGTGAATGCTGTATATATTCTGAAACAACGATATTCTGGGATCTCGATTTCAAATCCAAAGTTGCCAAGTCAGGCCAAAAAAAAGAATAGTTTTGCTTCTGGTTACTCGACTGACCCTATTTTTAGGCTGCGACCCTAAAAATTCTATTGGCAATTCCAAAACAAACAAAAAATATTGACTGAATAAATAAAAATAAAAAAACCTGTTGTCTTTTCTGTCTTCACAAAATACCTCACAACAACCCTTTTGCGTCAAAAAAGTGCTTGTATTTTTTTGTTTTCTTACTTACTTTCGCTATTTTTTTTTCAAAAGAAACCCCCGTTCTTTTTACAAATTCGCATTTGCAACTCGCGCCCTCGCGCGCTCGACAAGCAATTTGCATACACGCGACGTCACAGCTTGAGGTCATCTCTTGTCCCATTCAAAATGGCTGCCATCACCAGACGTTTCACGAGTGCATATGGACTCCAGAAAGATTGAAGAATATCTCGGAAAATGGAACATCATTAGACCTAAGCATCCCAGAAGTGACAGGTGAGACATCATAGAATACAACCATAAGAAAGTAAGAAACTGAGAATGTAAGAAACTGCCCTGAATTTTTATGAAAACTTCGTCCTCAGTAGCGCGCGGTACCACGGTGTGTGGCCAAAGGTTCAGCGCAGCATACCGACGGCCACACTAGTGGGGGGAAAAAATTCCATACTCGGACGTCACTTTTTTCAATTAATTTTCTAGCGCCAAAAGTTACATCTTCTATGGTTATTCCTCCACTTTCCCTCCTCTACTCTCACCCTCTCCTTTCCTTAATTTCTATTTATTAATCAGTCAGTTACTTCATCGGGATTCGAACCTCTGACGCTTGCTTGACACACGAGACTCTTAACCGCTAGGCCGCGCACGATCGCTGTTGCAATAATCAATCTTTGGACGTATTTGAAGTATCCATTGAAATAAACTAAATATTCATGAGAAAATAAATATTCATAATGACGTATTGCACTATCATTGGCAGGCTCATGCGACGTCATGGTTGTTGATGTCACGTGTATAACGTACCGCTGTCTTTCAGCCACTACAATCAGTTTTGACCGGCTGCTTCAAGTTAGTTCTGCACGACGTATGCATCCAAAATGTGCTCTAAAAACACATTTTGAGTAACGAAGTGGCTATCGTTACGGCACTCGTTGTTTAGCGCCCTCTACGATATTTTTTTGATACGCACGCGGGTATATAATTATTTGTTTCTCCACGTTTTATCGAGCAGTGCGCCAGCTCAGCCGATAGAGGGTAGGATTTTGCACCGCGAGGTTGCGGGTTCGAATCTCAGTTTTGCACTCGAATTTTTTTCCTTTTCTAACCTGAGGCTTTGGAGGATTTTTTTTAAAAGGGAAATAAAGTCCGAATTTCATAAAGTTCAAATTCACTTTTTTCCTTCTAATTTTATATTTTCTTGTCATGTTTTTTTATAAAAGTTGCCAGGTTGCAGTCTACCGTAACGATAGAAAATGGGAAATGCGTTACGGCTGCCGTAACAATAGCCACTGCGTTTGAGTAAATTGTTTTCACCTTAACACAGCTTCCTGGATTTCTCTTGGTTCAAATGACAAGGTGAGGTGACAATTAATATGTTTGGCAGCAGATAAATTGGCATCCGAGTATGGAACTTTTTCCACTGCATTGCGGCGCCGGTATCAATGCAATGCAATGCCAATGCACGGTATTCGCAATCGCATTGACACTGTACTGACACAGTGACAGCCGGCAGTCGATATGGTCAATTCTCGGAAAACATGACATGGAAAAACGTGAACGTAACTGTCACCAAAGCCCGTTTTAAAAACCACATGTGAGGTGATGATACAACTTACCTTAATCCCAAAGGCCTTTGGTAATCCACAAAGAACAACTGTGAGTTCTCTTTAATCAGGTTTTAAAGCCGTTTACTTCCGTAAGTTGACTGTAAATATTCGAATAATCCCAACGCCTTGCGAAAGACGCCATCTTGCGTACAAACTGCGAATAACAAGTGCATCATGGGAAATCAGCGCTAAAAATAGTCATGGTTGAAAAAGCTTTCACGTGATTCAACATTCCCCCCTAACGTAAAAATTGGACTTTTCCACACATATTTTAATTGTTCAAATTTAACTATAAAAGACACATTTCTTTCCGTTAAATATTTAATTTTTGATAACCGTATTCCAAGGAGTTTTTAAACTGCTTTAGTTTACCTAGGCTACTCAAAAATGAAAAATTGTGTTACAAAGGATGTTCCATTTTATAAAGAAGGGGTGATTTTACATCGATTTATTTGAACGAGTAGTTCATGTCAAAACACAGCAAAGATGACTGTTGAACGCTCATGCTTGTGAAATGTAGGGTGGGTATGAAACAAAATCTGGCTCATAATTACTGGGTATAATATTAGAAATATATAATGTGATTAATGCAATGCATTTGTAGTATTTTGTCACCCAAAATGGAGGAGTGAGTGCACATTTTGGGGGATTTTTTTCAAGTTAATGTACATTTGGGGGGGGGGAATCCCCATGTGAGAAATGCATGGTGGAGTTTCCATAACCTGATAATGATATACATGATATAACTGTTTTCTGTATAGCCGAATTAATATTTTGCAGTTCTGTATAGTTGATTCCACACTGTTGACATTAGATATGTTTTGAAATGCACCTAAAATTTAAGACAACAACCATGACAACAGCTGAAGATCATGACGATTTATTTAATTTTTCTTTGTGATTCATGGACAATGATGGATGCATATTCACAAACACATTACAAGGGCTCAGCCTCAGAGTGAAATGGGAGGAATATTATCGCAAGGTGAAATCTGGACTTTTCCATTTCATGAGGCGAAGCCGAGTGAACTGGAAAAGTCCAGATTTTACCGAGCGATAATATTCCTCTCATTTCACAATTTAAAGCCACTCAATATTTGTTTTATTGTCATTTGATATATTTGAACTTTTATTTCACTACAAAATTGATGGGAAATGTATTTCTCTCTTCCAAACCACCCCTTCACGAAAATGTTTGAACCCCACTCTGTAGCGCTGGCTCTTTGGAACAATACGCGATACGCGCAACGCTGAACGCGCACACCAGCATGCCTTTGCTCACAAATACCGCGTCTTGGAACAAGAATGATCCTAACTGTTCGATAGTATTTCTCATTCTCCATGGGCAGATAGTACTTTTGGAGGCCCGGCGTGAATGGGAGTAATGACGAATGTCACGTGATGTGAGTTCCACCAATCAAATGACAAGGATATGTATGTCGGTTATATAATGGAGAATATTTTTAAACGTAGTGGCTATAGTTACGACAGTCAACTGTCTTGTTCCCTGACCTGACAATAATCAAAGTCAAGATCTTTGGCTCTTGGACCGGAACAAGACTATATAATCATCCAAATGGTTCTCGGAGTTTATTTCTCGTTAACCACTGTAGCGCTGGATTATTTTTGCCAAAAAAATAAGATTTTCGCAAAAGGCAAAATTTTCCAGCCACAAAACGAAACGCCACAAATACTGATTCACAAGAGTTATTTCAGCAGTATTTGTACGATACTTTTAGCCAAAACTTCAATGTTTCAATACTCCGGGACGTGCACTGGAGTGTAATGTGCCTATCAATTGTTCCATCCCCCCCTTTCTGTGCTTAAGAAATGAGCACCTTAACCACTTGCCATCGGGATTATTGTGGGCAAAAAAACCCCACATTTTTTTCGAAAGGCAAGATGTATTGGCCAAATTTGTAAACTGAGGTCAAACACCACATAATACTGACTCTTGAGAGTCATTTGTACAACATTTTTACGATACATCTCACCGTAACTTCTCACCCTAACTTCGTATTTTGTACTACTCCGAGGCCCCGCCATGGAGCGATATTTGCTACAATGACAGGCTGTGTTCTGTGGCCAAGTTCAAGTTCAAAAACACGGTGGTATAAATCACTGTTAACAACTGCCGTGTATACAGTTTGGTGGTCTTGGAGATCGAGGATCTCCATACTTTGGTCAGTGAGAACAGAGCAGACCAAGCTTGAGCTTTTCTACACTCGATGTCATGAGCTGTGTTGGTGTAGGAGCCCATCCTCCTCTACGGTTGCGAGTCCTGGACCCTGACCAAACAGATCTCTGCGTCCATTGATGGCACCGTTCAGAACGTTTCTTGGCAACAACATCTCCCTAACTCTGTTCTGTATGGTGCCCTTCCCCCTATCTCCACCACCATCAGACAGCGTCGCCTTCGGCTAGCCGGTCACGTTTATCGACATAATGAGCCAGCTAGTCAAGTTCTCCTCTGGAATCCTGAAGCCCCTCGACGAAAAGGTCATCCCAACATGACCCTGAAAAACATCCATCGAGCTAGAAACTGGTCTGAGTGGTCCATCTCTTTCCATCACTATGCTCGACAGGGACAGTTGGGCCCAACTCATCAAGTCATCATGAAAATGAATGAATGAAGAAGAGAAGATACATGTCCAACACTGGAGACCTGGGGAAAGCTTGACGATTTAACCCGTCATCCGCCGGGCTCCTGCGAATACTCGTCCTCCGACATTAATTGCGTCCAAGGCCGAGTATAAGACCAGTCTTGAATCTTCCAGGAATGATCATTTTTTCTCTTTTCTTCCTTTTTATTCAGAGATGCACAATGACGCACTTGCCAAATTTCTTGTTGCAATCTGTCGTCACGACCGTGTCATCGTGGACCGTTCTTTGCATGATACTCTGCGTTCAAGTCACGCTCGAGTTTAGTTTCGGGGATGTGGCCCGATTCGTCAGACATCCTTGGTGTGTGACCGAGTGTTGCACTGACGAAATTTGGATCAACCGTTCAAATTCCTCAGGTAAGTACAGGTATTTCACTTGTTTTAACTTGTAATAATTATAATAATAATAGTAGTGGGTATTTATAAAGCGCACATATCCACCAGGACTGGTGCTCAAGGCGCTACATCATTATTACCCCTGCTCATTGGGCCCATGAAGTACCATCTCAGCTCCCTGGGGAGTATACAGCTTGATGTAGCCTGTTAGGCGCAAGGAAGCTAATTCAATCACAATAACCATCTGTGCCCTCACAGGTAGGTAGGTACCCAATTACTCCTGGGCGGAGAGAAGCAATGAGTGACAAAGTGCCTTACCCAAGGGCGCACGCACCATGACCCCAGGCTGGACTCGAACCCACAACCTGCAGCTTTACCGCAGACCACGAATCCAATCCATGAGGCCACAGGTTATTTTTGTTAATAATGTCAGACATTATAATGTATGTTATCAGTCATCCAGTAGTAGTAGATGATCTCTTAATTGAATCGAATACTGGAACTTACTTTTGCAACTGTGCGACGTTGCGTCCGAAACCATCAGACTTTGTTGCAACTGTGCGACGTTGCGTCCGAAACCATCGGACTTCGTCCGACGAAGTCCGATGGTTTCGGACGTAACTGCGCACAGTTGCAAAAATAAGTTCCAGTATTCGATTCAGTTCAGAGATCAATGTCAGACATTATTCAGAAAATTACAAGACAACGGGACTCAAACTTTAACACAGGATGGAGAAAAGTTGTCACGACCTATGTGGGTCACTTCCTCCGCGGTCGAATGGATGACGGGAAAGGACCAGTGCAATAGAAGGAAGGCCTCTTTAAGGACCAGTTCTTTCCCGCCGCTTCTTCGTAGCTGAGGAAGTTGTCTTGTTTCAATTTTTTTTTAAATTTACATCACCTGGCTGTCTCTAAATCTCCATCAAGTTAATGTCATCATTATCATCAAGTCGGCCACAGCCGGGCTCCAATACAACTACCCCACTCACTCCGGTCCGTCATAAGGGTGGCAAGCTCGCCGGCCGTCTCCACTCCAGTGTCTTTCTTCGGCACCCCCACATAGGACATAGCTTGCCTACCCCGCCTCTTCCTGCCGTGTTTCGGTTCCCACAGAACCACCTGATTGGCCTTGAGCTCAGGGTGGGCGCTGACAGTGCCCTACAAGTCGCATCCGGCGTGCCGCTATTTGGTCACCCACCCTCGGGAGGTCGCTGACAAGGACCACATTGGTCACTTTCTCCGGCCAGGAGATGCCAAAGCTGACCACTTTAATGTCAGACATTATTTAAAATTAGCAATTAAGTAGAGACATCGACTGAACAATTGACCAGTGATCAGTTATCGAATAGTTACTTTTTATTTGTTGCCTGACAATATAGTACCGAAGTGTGCCGCGTATTCTGGTTCACGTGCATAACTTAACTTAAGTTTGTGAAGACATCAGCGCACGAACCACCGCGTGAACCAAAACAAAGAACTCAGTTCTGACAGGGTTGACTGGTTCCTGCCTTACTTTTTTTCAAGGATCCACTATTTAAGGGGAAGAAACCAGTCGGTTTACATTTGATGGGTCTGTTTGCAAAAGCTGCCCCAAATAAAAACCTTTTTTTCAGAGAGCTGTAGATGCTCGGAGCATTTAAAGGTACAGTCCATCATTTGTAAAGTAAAGTCTGTCCCGAGCCAATGTGGCTCATCAGGCCGGCGTTTATCTCCGGTTTCAGTAGCATGAAACCACTGAGAATATTTCTCTTCCCCCGGATGGGATGTTAGTCCATCGCAGGTTACTCCCCAGCTAATGCCGGTACCCATTTATACTCCTGGGTGGGGAGGGGCAAGTGGGGTGAAGTGCCTTGGCATCATTTGTAATTTGTGCATTTTGTTCGTTTGAAGCAACAAACGTGCTCAAAATCTAAAGACGGGTGCTGAATGTGATGAAGTTTCAGCTCAGCTTAAGCTGTATATTTCGAGAAAAAGTACATTCTAGGATCTCGATTTCAAATCAAAAGTTGCTGAATCATGTTTTGAATTGGGCCTGAATTCAGCGTCCAAGAAACGTTCTCACTGAGCCGATTGCAGCTACGCGATGTCGGGCACTGATCCAACGAATTATAGTAAACGCGCACGCATATGCGTCGTGTCAACACTTGCGCACTTCGGTGAATAAGAAAACAAACAGCTAACGGAAATTTCCAACTATGCGTCTTTAGACGCATCATTGGAAATGCCTTCTTTCGTTGATTTTTTCAAAATGACAGTAAGCCAGAAAGAATAATTTCACAGGGAGTTTAGTTCCCTTACTATCTTTCAACCAAGTATGTTTTTCAACAAGAATTACGTCAGTTACTTTTTGGATAGCTGCAAATGATGGACTGTAGCTTGAAAGGTCCATATTTGTAAGGAAATAAAAATGATTTGTTGTAAAGCACGGAAAGTACTTCTTTATGAAACCATTTCCCATTCATTTTTAAAGGATTGCAAAAAGCCTTGAAATCGCAGCTGTTCGGTCAGCACTTAGTGACGGATCATGTGGTGGCAGCAGTCGAGGCTCATCTCACCGACAAAGACCCCGAGAGGCCGCTAGTCCTGTCCTTCCACGGCCGGACGGGCACCGGCAAAAACTACGTGGCCCGCATGATCGCGGAGAGCATCTACAAGAAAGGGATGAACAGCAAATACGTCCACCACTATGCAGCCAATAAGCATTTTGCCCATGAAAAACGTTTAGACGAATACAAGGTATGATATTGGCATCCGGTTTGGAGCGTTGTAGTCGAGTACTATTATCCGAGTACAAAGTGCTGTCGAGTACCAAGCTTGCAAGTACCACTCGCATCGTAGTACTTTAGCTCTAGAAGATAAGTACAGGTACCCGAGTCTAAGTACTGGACCTTCAAGTACAAGTTTCGTAAGCCGAGTCCGAGTACTTGGACTTGCGAGTATGAGTACTTGGACCTCCAAGTACAAGTAGTTATTGAGTAAAGTAAAAGTAAAGCTTTAGGCCATCAGCTTGGGGGTTTGGTCAGTATCAAATCAGGGCATAAATGATTATAGTGCGCATGCGCAAGGCATACTGCCCCTAGAGTGGTAACACGCATTTTGATGGACATTTTGAAAAAAAGGGTGATAACCGCTGCAATGCTATCACATATTTTCCAATGCTAGAGGTATATACCTTGCCAAAAATCGCTATGATGATTATTCCCCTTATTTGATACCGGTTGCCAAAATTTTCGACCGAGGCTGATGGCCTACTTGTCGCGAGCCAATGGCCCATCAGGCCGGCGTTTATCTCCGGTTTCAGTGGCATGAAAGGACTGAGAATATTTCTACTCCCCCTGGATGGGATGCTAGTCCATGGCAGGTTACTCCCCAGCTAATGCCGGTCTGGCTAATGCTGGTACTCATTTGTACTCCTGGGTGGAGAGAGGCAAATGTGGTGAAGTGGCTTGCCCAAGGACACAACATGTGACCAGCAGCTGGATTTGAACCCCTGATCCGCTGATCATGAGTCACGAACCCTAACCACTGGGCCACACTCCCGCATACTTTATGGAATCACGGTAAATCGAAGTTCCATTGCACGGTCACACGATTGGTGGCTCTGACCGATCAGATGACAAGGATTTATTCAGGTTTCGGATAAAGCAATTAAGTAATGTTTATGAGTGCAATGGAAAGAACAACTCCATTCAGTGACAGATGGAATGTTCCATTCCACTTTGAAATGGAGCATTCCACCTCATGAAATTATTCTTTCCATTGCACTCATAAACACCCATTATTTATATAATATTGAAGATGTGTGCTGTCATTTGGATTTCCTTATTTTTGTATGGCCTTAAAAATTTCAACCAACTACTCAGGGCAAGTTCGCGCAAGGACTATAGTTAACCATTGGTCAACTAACGCTTGCCCGAACTCTGTCTAGTCGACGATGGTTAACTACGCTAGTCGACTATTTGGAACCAACCTACTGGGGCTGGTTGCTTCGCTGGTAACCATAGCCGCGCGCGTTCATAACGTACAGCAGGGAGCCAGGATCCAGACGTTTTGCAATGTCATTTTGACCAGCGTTCGACTAGAGACGTTCGCACTTTGCTATTAGTGCGCAGGCGTAAGGTACGTCACAAATCAACCACTAGTCGACTAATGGTCCTTGCCCGAAACTTGGCCATTGTTGCAAGATGGTGAAAGTAAATTGTCCATTTGTTGTGCGTAGAGTCTCCTAAGATCCGAGGTGGCGGCCTATACCTACAGCTGCCCGTACCAACTCTTCATCTTTGACGAAATCGAAGACATGCCGGAAGGGCTCCTCGACTCCCTCAAACCGTTCATAGACTACAACGTCCATCTAGACAATGTGGACTACCGTAAAGCCATCTTTATCTTTTTAAGGTGAGTTTTCTGCAACATCAGTAACGTTTTACAGTTAGAGTGCCTCTCCCTACGTTTATTCAGTGATCTATTGATCACTGAATGGAAAAGGAGCAAACCCGTAAAATCTGTTTCATATTGGCGTGGTAGGGTCGGAAAAGCATCATTCCCCTCCCCCCCCCCCCCCCAAGATTTTTGTGTCCTGAACAAAATGTTGTAGTTGTGAAGAAATAAAAACAATTTCAATGAGGGAATAATTATGTTCTTGGCCAACTTTAAACAAGTACCTTTAAAACCGTGGCCTGGATGCAGATAATGGCCCAAGCTGAAGACGAGGTTCATTCCCGCAATCCAGGCCCCTAGAAGGTTTTAAATGTAACTGTTTAATACCGGCCAATCACTTACGTATTTCCATTCATAAATACCTTTTGGTCAAAATTCAAAACAGGTAAAAACAATTTCACAAATTTCAAACGATTTTGTTCGACAACATGTTTTATGAAACACCCCTCTGGCCATGTCTTTGGTATGTGCCTTGTGCGAATAATGGTAAAATCTTCCTACACATGTGTATGGAAATTGGCGTGCGTGCGGTGCATACAGGGCGATTTGGCGCAGAACACAGCTTGGTTGTACCGCAGTTTAAACCACCCACGTGATGGCTCTCGACCAATAGGAATGGGTAAACTGTCTCAGGTATTTATGAATAAAACTGAAATTTATATAATGGGCATAAAATCACACATATGCACATTGTGTACACACGTGTCACTATGCAGGCAAGATTCTATTGCAAACAGCGCCACCCGGTGTGACATGATGTCAAGCCCTGGTATCATAGCACGATGAACAGGGGTAATAATTGTGAAGCGCTTCGAGACTTTTGTAAAAAGTTCAAATACAAACTAAACGAAAACCCAAACCAAATTTCATTTCGCAGCAACACAGCAGCAATGGAGATCACCCAAAAGACCTATAGTCATCTGAGCGCCGGCGGCAACCGGGAGAAAATCACGCTACAGGAGATGGAAGAAGTCATTGAGAAGACTGCGTACAGCGCAAAAGGTAGTCTAGGTCCCAGACTGTTTTGCCGTGGTAGAGGGCGCTATATCAACAAGATGAATCAAGTCACGTCTTAAGCTCCAGACACACATTCATGGTTTTACGAATATCCACAGTTTGAAATTTGTGATAAACTGTGGGAGTATCGTTTTCATCCTTAGTACCTCCGTGGTTATCCGTCATCTTTTTTGGGTATGAGTGGAGGGGCTACGGTAGTTTTAAGCTGTTCAAAACTTCCGTGGTGAAACGTTACAAAAATTGACCCGTAATGTAACCGTGGGACATCCGTAGGACAACCGTACTAATTGGTAGTGTTATTTATGGCTATTCGTACATATTCTTGGAGATTCGTAGCTCATTCGTGGTGGAAATCTCTACGAATTCGCTATGAATGTCCTACAGATATGCCCGGATGAGCTAGGGTTCTGCTGAGGTTGTAGTACGAATATCCACATTTTATTCGTAAAGAAACCTTGGTCATCCGTGGCCCAATCGGCGTCAACATCATTATTCTAGTAATATTGTTGATATTCTTTACCAATCCATCCATATTCTTGACAAACCGTGGTGTATCCGTAGAGAAACCATAGTACAGTCGTGGCTATCCATCCTGAAACCGTAGTGCATTCTTAGAAAGTCGATTTCTCCACGAATCTCGACAGTTCATCATGAACCGTGGATATTCGTAGCTCCAAACCCTGTCCCTGGGGCGTTAGGATCTGTGACACCTACCGGATGGTGCAAAAAGAAGGAAACCCACTTTTGACGGCAATTTTCACCTACTTGTTGAGCATATTTCAAAAATTCAAATTAATTTTATTAAAATATTGATCTTTAAACATTGTGAAAAAAAATGATTGCAAATGCATATTTTGTCTCTGAGATATATGGTAGTTTGAAAATATCATGTGCCAAACCTGTTTGTCCACGGACGGCTTTATTCCATCCCCTTGACCGAGCTCCGGGACTTGATTTGAAGACAAAACACTACATTAGACTTACATGTACATATGGACAACAGTGATTTTGGTGACTTGTATAAAATTAGCATAATAACGCTTTTCTTGCCATTTTTTATTAAGATTTTTTTCACCACGTATAGTTGAAGAGCTATTCACTACATTATAAAAAAAAAAGTTCAAATTATAAGTTAAGTGAGTAGGTTAAAATTCCTGTCAAAAGTGGGTTTCCTTCTTTTTGTACCACCCTATGAGAAATTCAAGGCTACCTCATTGTCACTTCCAAGCTATGCAGTATGTCCCCAAAAAAGTGTCCGCCTTGTTTTTTTAAAGGCGGGCCTTCAAAAGGACTTTGTTGAATATTTTTAACTTTTAAACTGAGGTTTTGTCGCTGGTGATGTTTGAAGACAATTGTGAAAACGATTCTTGAAAGCGCATTTTTGGACGAAAGAGGTTACACGGGCACTCTGTTTAAATGGTGATATAGTTTGAAAGGATTGAGGAATTTCAGTAATTTTTCCATCTAAAAGTAGTTTATGAAATTGGCTTTCCAGTCAGTATTATTTTTGGTGCTGCATATATTTTTTAAATATGAAATATATTTTTTGGAGTTTGGGTTCCACTTTTTTTGACTCGCCCTCTAGGTGTGTATCAAGTTGCCAGAGTCTGATAAAATTTCTTTAAAATTTTCGAAATTCTTCTTTTATACATTGGGCTTTTTTTTCTTGCAGGTGCCTTCAACAGAAGTCGTCTAATCGACAGCTACGTCATCAGTCACTTCGTGCCTTTCCTTCCTCTCGAAAGACAACACGTGCGAGAGTGCGTGCGAGTCGCACTGCGTAAACGCTCTTTCTCTCGGCGCCACATGAACGACGCTATCGACCAAGTTATGGACCTTCTACAATTCTGGCCCGAAGTTAGCAAACTGTTTGCCCTCAAAGGGTGCAAGAACGTGAACGAAAAAGCCGCGCTTGTTGATCACCAAATGCGAAAAACAGAGTTATGAAGCTAGCCTAGGTTTTATATTTATTAAAATCATTTTGATAACTATAGGTAGTAGACTCAACTCTATAGAGTCTTGGCTCTGTCATTTCTAGTACACAAATGTAACATGGTTTGAGGTTGGGTAGTCAATATTTATATCGATCCCAGGTATTGGAAGTTGACAGGCTATTTCCTGTGGCGAAGTTGAGAGAACTAGTTTGTCAACTTCCAATTACCGACGGGATCCCATATCGACTATCCATCCGAAATAAACCATGTTGTATTTGTGTTACTGTACCTCAAACATATTTAGCAAAACTTCATCAAAGTACGCTTGAGGCTTGGTGAAGCATTACTGTGCATGTGCCACCATCTTGACATGTAGCTAGGGCTGTATTCGAGTGTGTGCGCACACTACCCCTGTACAGTTGCTTCGTCAAGCACATGCGCATGTGTGTTTACCCTGTGCGTGTATCCTCGTACGTGTTCTACATAACTCCTGAGGACCGACACACAAAGGGAGAACAACAGATCCTTTCAGTCCTCGGGAGTTGGGTCTTTTGTTGGAAATGGTCCTCTGTAGTAGGTTCGTGTGCTGAGTCAATGGGAGAGTGTTATATTACAGGGACAAAGGGAAACACAAAGCATTGTCCTCGGGAGTATAGTAAAACAAGAGTGGCTTCGCGCGCACTTGGTAAACAGCAAAACTAGCGGCTGACCTGTGACGGTGATTGGACCAATGAGAAGTTTTGGGTCTAGATTATGAATATGTATGAGGTGTAGTAGTAAAAACTATAGACCAGTGCAATTTGCCCATGTTCTGCGATGACTGGGGTGGTTTTTCAGCAGCACTGGAATGCCGCAAAAATGGTTTTGGTATTTTGCTCAGTGCACTCACATTTGGTGACGTGTTTAGACTTTTTACGAAATGACATGCGACGGGGTGCTTAGACCAAAGGACATTTGCCTGTGTATTGGCATACGCCAAAATTGTGTAACACCCCTCCCCCATTTTGTTGTCTTTTGCCCCTGGTTTTTGTACATAAATAATGATTATTTAAATTTGCCATACTGTAAATTAGTATTAGTATGTGTAGAAATAGTCACTTCAAAAGTGACTAGTTTTTTTTTATTAACAGCTGATTAAATTGTCAAATCAAATTTTTTGAGCATGGAAGGAAAGATGTCAATTTCTCTTGAATTGACTAGTAACAAGGCAAGATGTATAAAGGGTATGTTGCTGAAAGTGCATTTTGTTTTTGTATTTTGTCATTCCAAATTTGTTTTTCTTTTTAATTAAAGTGATGTAAAATTTCAGGGGTTTTTTTGTGCAAGATTTTTTTTGTGAAGATGTTCTGTCCATGGTCTGCAATGAATGAGAATTTTTTTTTCCAGAAATTGTCAACACATTTTTTGTTTCTTCTTTTGGGCATCTCCAAAACCCCTGAAAAAAGGGTTTTATATTGTGGGACTTTTGAATACAATTTTGCATTGTGAGAAGACTGGTTCCCAGTCCACTCCCTACATTAGCAATTCAGATAGATGGCAGGAACCAGTCTACACTGGGCACGTATTTTTTGTTTAATGGCTCACTCAAAACTGATAACTACATTTACAATTGAAATTAAACGGATAACAAGGATGGTACATCTTTAAAATTGTGAAATTCTTTTCAATTAATAATACATGTAGTGACAGTCAACAGTACGAAAACTATAATAGGTAATTTTAATGAGATGGGGGAAGCTTAACTTTTTGGGGATAAAATCATTTTGAAATATTCTTTTGAAGACCTACCTGCCTCAAAAAAATGAAAAATCTGTTGCCGAAAAAAAAAATTGATAGAAGAATACGAAGCAAAATATAAAAGAAAACGAACCATTCAAGTGCCCTCTTTTTCACAGCTTAAAAAAATAACTAATTAGCTTTTCAACTATAAAACTTCTTTCCAATGCGGTAAATATTTACTAAGAACATCTGTGAAAATGGCTACCGAGTAGAAGTCAGAGACATCAGCACGTACAGTGAACTTCTAAGAAGTTAACCAAACAGTCCTTTTTCAGGACTATTTTCCAAAAGGATAAATGGCCATTGTGGCCAAAAAATAAGTAAGGGAAAACAACGAAATTAAGCAACAAAGATTATAACATTAAAGAAAGCAAAACTACCCTCATCCCAAATTTCATTACAAAACATGACAATTGAGACCGCGGACAGATTGAAAATCGGCTCTGTTTTGAATTGGCCATAACTCAATAAATATTTACCCGATTAAAAAAAATAAATTTTGTTGTTGAAAAGCCAGTTAACTATACTCTCCAAATAGGTATCGATATTTGCGTCATTTTTGTAAAGCTGTGAAAAAGAGGACCCGCCCACCATCGCGAGAGCATTGAACTTTTTATTGATGTCACTTCTCCCTTTTTTTATAACGGCCTTTTTTTAAGCTGATGACACCACATTATCACAGGCTGGGGTAAACAGTTGTTTTTCAGACTAGGCTCAATATTAAAAAATACAACTTTTTTATACATTGGCTGGAAAAAAGTTGGGGATTCGGTGGCGCGGTTTTTGTTTTTGTTATGTTGGATCGATGATGGGTTTAGTGAAGTGCGCCCCCATGCAGCCATTTCTGACTAGGCGCGCCGCATATAAGAAACTTTTCTTAAAATGTGCACCCTCTTGCAGATTCGAAGTATACCAGTCAATTTGTCCTGTTGACATGGGACAAAATTGAGCCTTCCTTGTTAATATTATTGAAACTGAAGCCTGTGGTGGCCTTTTTTTTTTTTTACCAGCAGTCTATTAATCAAGTTCGGAGAAATAAACGGGGAAAAGAAACTTGGGGACTACCTCCATGGGCAAACTCACCAAGCCACCTCCCCCGTCCCCGAAAATTATGGGAATAAAATAGAATAACTGTCAACATTTTCCAAAGAATTTAATGTTGTCACATAAATATGATGAATATGATCATTACACCTGTCATATATTCATTTCCGATCGATAGCATGTCATCCACATATTTCTATTGTTATGTTAATTATACCTGTACACGCTTCATTTGTGTATGCGGTCTGTGTGTAGTTTGTCATGCGTTGAATGACGTGCCGTAAATATAGTGCATTCGGTATACGCAGTACAATACATGTAATTCGTGGGTGCGAAAGCACAACCGACCAAGCCCTTTTTCGAGTCCAAAAGACACTTTCTGATCGGAGTAAATGCTCTAAAAGGTGACCATGGGAAAGGATAAGTACCAAGGAGACGATGAGAATGCAGAGATGAGTGATGCCCCTCCGCCAGGGCGGACGCAATCCAAAAAGTTCGGTGAGTATGTTTCCACTTCGGGAGAGTAAAAGTTTGCGTGTGTGGTGTGAGTTTGTCGGCCGTGTGTTGGGCGTTATCGACCCACTGTCAATCGGGTCAGCGCCCGCAGAGATTAGTTTACGCAGTGGGCGAGGTGGTCTTTCATCTTTGGTATTTGGCGGGAGGGTTGTGGTTTTGGACAGCACGGATGAATGACCTTGACATGCTCGAGTTGGGAAATAACCTCATTGCACAGTGGTGGAAAAGTTGTAGGTTATTTATTGCAAATTTGTCCCGAAAGTAGTCTTAAGTTCTTTCTTTATTTAGAATCGTCAACTCACGTCAAGTTCAATGTTTCAGTTAATTTTATTGTTCACGTACTACATGTATTTCTGCTGAGAAATATTCTACTGTAACATTATGTGTGGTCTTTCATAATTAAGTTTAACTGCTTTGCGTAAGGATGCATATGTCTTGTCACTAAATTTTTAAAGATGTATTTTTTTTGTTGGTCAAAGTCCTCTTTCAACTTTCAGGCTCATTGAGCAAAGTTATGAATAATTTCATCCATGAGTGATTGGGCACTATTAAATATTGCATTCGCCGCCCACTTTAATATTACAGTAGGTGTGGTTGCTCAGCAAAGACGGAGGGCCATAAAAAAAAATGTGACCCCCCACCCAGTCGGCCCCCCCCCCCCCTCCCCCAATTGGAAATTTGTTAGTCCTATATGGATCGTCTACACAAGGATAATTGACTTCCCAAATTTCTGGTAACATGCGTGATACGGGCCTTCGCTGGTCTTGAGTGCGCTTGCGCAAGACTGCAGCAGAAATTCTGACAGGTTTCAATAAGATTTGTTGATGCTCTTCCTTCATCCGAAGTTTTTGTTACTTTTATTTTTTCTGTTTTTTCCCCCAAAAATCTCCTGAAACTTATAATTATATAGTATAGGCCTAGACACAAAAATCAAATTTCAACTCCTCCCCTAATTTTAATATTATCATTTTGTTTTAATTTATATTTTGTTTTAATTATGGGCTTTTAAGAAAGAGTAATATGATTCCACTTTGCTGAGCCCTAACCGCCCCAACTCCATCAAAATCCATCCCCCAATTTTGGTGGATTTTGGGGGACTTGGTCCTGCAGGACTAAATATTGATGGAGTATGATGGACTTGGGCCTGGAGGCCTAAAGCAAAGCATGCATTGGAAGCAGTGTGATTGGTGGATTTTGGGGGACTTGGTCTGGTACTGGTATTTAGACAGTACAGGGAGTTGGAGTTTAATGTGCAAAACTCTGTTAGACTGTTAGGCTAAAACTTCAATTAAAAAATACCAAAACAAAAAGTTTCTCATTCTGAAAATAATTTATAAATATTATTTCCGAATTCTGACACATCTTTTATATGGTTTTCAAACACTGGTTTGCGGGATACTGCATTCTTACCATTATGTGCCCTGCCTTGTTATAAATAAACGAAACAGTTGATTTAGTAGGCCTATTGAAGTGAAACATGAATTTGCCATTAAAGTCATTAGAGAGTTTAATGATCTATTTAGCAAGCGTACAAATATTCGCCGAGTTACCGACAATTTGGCAGTGTGATGAACAGTTTTTGGCAGGCTAATGGTACCCCAGGGTGATTCGGAAGCCACAGTAATCTGTCAGTGTCTCGTTAGACTTGGCTGATTTCGCACCCTTGGGATCATGGGGGCCCCAGATGCGCACCTCCTAATGACACATCATGGGAGAGTGCTTTTTTCCATTTCTCGCATTATTCATATCCGCGTTGTTTTTTTTTTTGTGGAAGTCAGCATCAATTTTTGATAACATTCGAGGTACTTTTTAGGTCCCCAACTGTGGCACTACTGCAGGCGTTATGACAAAGCATCTTTCTGGCCTTGAGAAAAAAAATAGTTTCTCGTCTGAGCTTTTTGATAAAACTTTAGGAAGCGGCCCTTTTTTTCCTGCAAAATGGCGGATTTTCCACGATGGCGAATGGACGCTTCCATTTTCCCAACTCTTGCGCTGATTCTTTTGTGTCCAAAGCTAAAGGAGCCGTCAGTCTTTCTACCAAAATTTGAAATTGCATGTATGGATGTATTTTTAGCTGCGTACAGCAGCTGAACCAACCTCGTCCCCAGTGCTTACTTTATTTCCAACCTAGTTCCAATAGTAAGCCCTGGATAGGAAACTTCCTTCCTGCATCCTGATTCGATACGGCAATTGGCTAGTACTGGATTTTTGTCATGTACTTGGTGTTGTTATTCACAACGTGCAGTACGTGTTTTCGCGATTATTCGTCCACGCCTTCTCGAAAATACTCATTTCCTTCCCAATTTGTTCATATTAATATGAAATGTGATACTACATGTTGTCTCGGTAAGATCGTAACAATTTAATTAAATACATTCTAAATCGTGTTTTTCGTAACTCACGCCATGCTTGCGCTGCGACGAATTGACTCTGCTTTTACCCCAGACACCACATACAAAAACAAACGCAAATGTAACGCACAAGCAGGCACCAGACTATTCCTCATTTGCATACGTGTTCAAAAATCTTGCACACGATGCAAATGATCCAATACCAGGGTGAGAGAGCAGGTAGTGATGGGCGCGTACTGCTCGACACCCTGGGGTCGAGGTTGCAGCTGAACATATCTTTAGTTAGTCAGTTACATGTAGTTACTTAGTTAGTAACAAAAAAAACATTCCAGTGCAGCGTTGCATGGGTATAAATCAACTCCTCCCTCAGGCCAAGGATATCAACTTGTCCCTCAGGCCCTGGTCCTCTTTTGTGTCACTTTAATGGGTCTCCACTGACGGCCTACCAATTCCTGAAAAAATAGCCCTGGCTTTCTGGGAGGGGAGAGTTGCATTATCGAGGTCACTCATTTCGCATTGGGGCTGCTAGTTACAAAGTAGGTGTTCCACCAACTGACGATCAACAAATGGAAAATCCTTTATTTCAACTGCCAGTCATGACCAAGTGGGTAATTTGCATAAGAATAGACTCCCCCAAACACCACTCCTTCTAGAAATTACATGGTACAATCATGTCACTCATGCATGACCACGAATTTGTTGGCCTGCAGCTCGAGCTTGTTACCGGTACATACAAATGTACACAACTTTGGTGGAAACAAACTAAAATTGCAAATGTAGGCCTTTTTTATAAAAAAAAATTGGAAAAGGAAGAAAAAGGAGGCTAAAAAGCGGGGTTCAAGAAAAAAGGAAGTGAAAAGGCACGAGAAACTGGTTTATTTTTTCATACATGGCCTAATACCGGTACTTTCAGGCATTCTTTCATTCTCTGAAACTTGAAACTGAACGTGATAGCAAAACCTGATAAACATAAACAAGCCGACTTTAGTCGTTCAGCCTTTCCCAAACCCAAACAGAATTCTTCAAATATTTCCACATAGCAAATTAAAGATCATGAGGTCTCAATCCCAAACTTTATAAACAATATTTTCTTAAAAACAAAACAATCCTTCTTAATTGCTACAGTAGTGGGTAAATTGTAATGTCCATGTAAAATCAATTTCAATATCAGCAATTTAAATTAAAGTGCCAGACCAGCCTGCAAAACTTTGTGTACAAATTTCACTTTCTGCTAAAACATTTCCAAAATATTTGTATTTTGCAATTTTCTAGCAATATTTGGGATATGAAACAAAAAACATCAGCCCATAATATGTATTTTTTGTTATAGAATGATTACTTACAAATTTTAATTATTTGCGGCCTGACAGTAAATCTGTTCTGGCAGGGTAGACTGGTCCCCACCCTCAGGCCAAAAACAATAATACTTCTGCTTCCGGTTACCCTGCACCCAATTTTGATAGCCCTAATTTATTGGTGGAAAATGAGGGAAAAAACTTGAAAATCATCAATTACTACCTTTTACCCTTGACTACACACAGACACCGCCCTATGTTCATGTATACGAGCGCAAAAAATTGCCCCCCCCCCCCCTCAAAAAAAAATGTAACCGGTACCTACTTACCCTACCAGTATTTTCAAATGCCATGTAATCGGAAGCAGAAATACCTTTATGTTTTTTTTTTTTTGGCCTTATCAGGGCGGATGTGTTGTACAAGTTATGCAACCCAAAATTAAAGCCTTTTTTTGTTTTTGAGATGACCAGTGGCAGATGCCTGAAAGAAAAGCATTTAATTGTTTATTTAATAAAACATTTACACGTGTACAAGTGAAAAGAATTGAGAAAAACTTGAATTTTTTTCAAAAGCACAGACAGGCTTTAAAGGGAATGTACAACATTTGCTTTTGCTGCAATTTTCAGAAATAAATGGATTTGGAGGATTAGTATGTTATAGCAAATATTGTTACACTGACTTGTTTCACGTTTTGGGTCCGTAGATGCTGGAAAAACCAAGAAAACCAATCATATTCTTGTAGTCTGGTTCCCTGACGCCACTTAAGATGAACCGGAGCAATTTATAGACTTTGGGGAATTGTAAGATCATGAGAATCAGTGTAGCAGGCTTGTAGTCTTCACAGGTATGTAATCAATTCCAAAGAAAACGCAGACGAACTACATATGAAAATTTAGGAGCACTTTTTGAAAAAAAGCCAGTTTTCTCCAACACTTGTCGGCCGACCAGCGTTGGAAAAATACACTTTTTCTTGAAAATGTCAGCACACCAGGAGCCACGATTTTACAGGATGCTTTAGGCTGTCATTCCCTAACAATCCAGTGAGATACCGTATTTTGTGATAATTTGATCATTTCGTTTTTTGATGTTTGCAAATGTTGTATCTTCCCTTTAAACAAGTTCATGATTAGGCCCAACATTCCGATACGTGAAAGTGAAACTACAGAAAACCATAGAAAAGTGTATTAGGTACTTACAATGAACACCTTCACAGAGTTGCATTGAGTGTACCGGTAGATGACTTTTGTATTTGTGTGCTTACAATGACATTGTTCGTTTAAGTTCCCTTTTCATGGAATGGAAGTTCATTGTACTGCAGTTTGACCTCTAGGATGTT